CTCTCAAAAGAAGTGAGTGGGAGGAAAGTAGAACTTGATGAGGTAACTGTACCTGCTCCCTTATTGGAAATTAGTTCATCACAAAAATCTGTTCCTGTGACTACTACACCAATTAGTGAGGAAGTTAATGATGATGATCATGAAACTTCAGATTAAGTTACTACAGAACCTCGTAGGTCTTACAGAGTAAGATCCGCACCAGAGTGGTACGGTAATCCTGTTCTGGAAGTTATGTTACTAGACCATGACGAACCTACGAACTCTGAAGAAGCGATGGTGAGCCCAGATTCCGCAAAATGGCTTGAGGCCATGAGATCTGAGATAAGATCCATGTATGAAAACAAAGTATGGACTTTGATTGACTTGCTCGATGATCAGCAAGCCATGTTAAATAAATGGATCTTCAAGAGGAAGACGGACATTGATAGTAGTGTTACTATCTACTAAGCTCGACTTGTTGCGAAATGTTTTCAACAAGTTCAAAGTGTTGAATACGATGAGATTTTCTCACTCGTATCGAAGCTTAAGTCTGTCTGAATCATGTTAGCAATTGCCACATTTTATGAAATCTGGCAAATGGATGTCAAAACTGCATTCCTTAATGGATTTATTAAAGAAGAGTTGTATATGATGCAACCAGAAAGTTTTTGTCAATCCTGAAGATGCTAACAAAGTGTGCAAGCTCTAGCAATCCATCAATGGACTGGTGCAAGCATCTCGGAGTTGGAATATACGCTTTGATGAGTTGATCAAAGCATATGGTTTTATACAGACTTTTGAAGAAGCCTGTATTTACAAGAAAGTGAGTGGGAGCTCTATAGCATTTCTAATATTATATGTGGATGACATATTGTTAATTGAAAATGATATAGAAATTCTGGATAGCATGAAAGGATACTTGAATAAGAGTTTTTCAAAGCAAGACCTCGGTGAAGCTGCTTACACATTGAGCATCAAGATCTATATAGATAGATCAAGACGCTTGATAAGATTTTTCAATGAGTAGATACCTTGATAAATTTTTGAAATAGTTCAAAATGGAACAGTCAAAGAAGGAGTTCTTGCCTGTGTTACAAGGTGTGAAGTTGAGTAAGACTCAAGACCCGACCATTGCAGAAAATAGAAAGAGAATGAAAAGTCATTCCCTATGCCTCAGTCATAGGTTCTATAAAGTATGCTATGCTGTGAACCAGACCTATCGTAAACCTTGCTCTGTGTTTGGTAAAGGAATACAATTTTGATCTAATAAGTAGATCACTGGACATGGGTCAAGAATATCCTAAGTGAGGACTAAGGAGATGTTTCTCGATTATGGAGGTGATAAAAGAGTTCGTTGTAAAAGTTACATCGGTGCAAACTTTTACACTGATCCAGATGACTCTAAGTCTCAATCTGGATACATATTGAAAGTGGGAGCAATTAACTAGAATAGCTCCATGCCGAGCATTGAAGACATAGAATATTTGCAAAATACATACGGCTCTGTATGCGACAGACCCGTTGACTAAATTTCTCTCACGAACAAAACATGATCATACCTTTGTACTCTTTGGGTGTTAATCACATAGCGATGTGAGCTAGACTATTGACTCTAGTAAACCCTTCGGGTGTTGGTCACATGACGATGTGAACTATTGGGTATTAATCACATACAGATGTGAATATTGGTGTTAAATCACATGGCGATATGAACTAGATTATTGACTCTAGTGCAAGTGGGAGACTGAAGGAAATATGCCCTAGAGGCAATAATAAAGTTATTATTTATTTCCTTATTTCATGATAAATGTTTATTATTCATGCTAGAATTGTATTAACCGGAAACATAATACATGTGTGAATACATAGACAAATATAGTGTCACTAGTATGCCTCTACTTGACTAGCTCGTTTATCAAAGATGGTTATGTTTCCTAGCCATGGACAAAAGAGTTGTCATTTGATTAATGAGATCACATCATTAGGAGAATGATGTGATTGACATGACCCATTCCGTTAGCCTAGCACTTGATCGTTTAGTATGTTGCTATTGCTTTCTTCATGACTTATACATGTTCCTGTAACTATGAGATTATGCAACTCCCGTTTACCGGAGGAACACTTTGGGTGCTACCAAACGTCACAACGTAACTGGGTGATTATAAAGGAGTACTACAGGTGTCTCCGAAGGTACATGTTGAGTTGGCGTATTTCGAGATTAGGTTTTGTCACTCCGATTGTCGGAGAGGTATCTCTGGGCCCTCTCGGTAATACTCATCACCTAAGCCTTGCAAGCATTGTAACTAATGAGTTAGTTATAAGATGATGTGTTACAGAACGAGTAAAGAGACTTGCCGGTAACGAGATTGAACTAGGTATTGGATACCGACGATCGAATCTCGGGCAAGTAACATACCGATGACAAAGGGAACAACGTATGTTGTTATGCGGTTTGACCGATAAAGATCTTCGTAGAATATGTAGGAACCAATATGAGCATCCAGGTTCCGCTATTGGTTATTGACCGAGAATAGTTCTAGGTCATGTCTACAGTTCTCGAACTCGTAGGGTCCGCACGCTTAACGTTACGATGTACCGAGGGAGTTCGGAGTCCCGGATGAGATCGGGGACATGACGAGGAGTCTCGAAATGGTCGAGACGTAAAGATCGATATATTGGACGACTATATTCGGAGTTTGGAAAGGTTCCGAGTGATTCGGGTATTTTTCGGAGTACCGGGTAGTTACGGGAGAAGCAATGGGCCTTGATAGGCTTTAGTGGGAAGAAGAGAAAGGGCCAAGGGGCTGCTGCGCCCCCCTCCCCTCTAGTCCGAATTGGACTAGGGAAAAGGGGGCCGACCACCTTTCCTTCTCCTCCACTTCCTTCTCCCTTCCTTCCCTCTTGGTGGACTCCTACTAGGACTTGGAGTCCTAGTAGGACTCCACATCCTGGCCGCACCTATTGCCTTGGCCGGCCTCCTCCTCCTTCATCCTTTATATACTGAGGCAAGGGGCACCCCATGATAACACAAGTTGATCTACGGATCGTTCCTTAGCCGTGTGCGGTGTCCCCCTCCACCATATTCCACCTCGGTCATATCATCGCGGAGTTTAGGCGAAGCCCTGCGCCGGTAGAACATCATCATCGTCACCACGCCGTCGTGCTGACAGAACTCATCCCCGAAGCTTTGCTGGATCGGAGCCCGGGGATCGTCATCGAGCTGAACGTGTGCTGAACTCGGAGGTGCCGTACGTTCGGTGCTTGGATCGGTCGGATCGTGAAGACGTACGACTACATCAACCGCGTTGTCATAACGCTTCCTCTTACGGTCTACGAGGGTACGTGAACGAACACTCTCCCCTCTCGTTGCTATGCCATCACCATGATCTTGCGTGTGCGTAGGAATTGTTTTGAAATTACTACGTTCCCCAACACTCCACACATCCTAGTTGTGCGATCGGGTCTAGCAACATGCCAGTCGGCAGATCTAGCCATCTCCACACGCCCTAGTCGTGTGATCTGGTCTAGCAACCCGCCACTCGACATTGTGACCAGCAGTGCGGATACCTCTAGACGAGATGCACTTGTATCGCTTCGGTGACCAGCTTGAGGGTACCGACAATCGGCTGCTCGAGGGAATCGACTGAAGGAGATGAGTCGGTTGGATGATGCGCTACTCCAACTCTACTTGGCGGCAAGGACAGTGTTTCTAGTTGTAAAGTTGTGATCTATACCCTAAGCATGTTCCTGGTTGTTCTGCTTTCGTAGGAAAATTGTCATTTCCAACCGTTGTATGCCATGTAGACTAACATCCACCACCACGACCACGCGAAGAATATAACTTATCTACCATTTTTTGGTTAATAAGTGTACAATAGGAAATTCTGACTGTCTTGAGAGTTCACATAAAACACTTGTTTCCTTATGAATAGGGCTTTTCATATGTTGTGGATGCCCTTGGCTAGGGCAGAGAAAAAGCTTGTGGCTTGCAAGCTTAATGAGCACTCAATATGTCATCTCTTTAAGCTCGTCGCTCGTCTCTTAATAAACAAAGCCAATCACAAATGTTAGCTTGTTAAACTTAATGTGCTTAACGAATGAGATAATGAGTTTGCCAAGTAGCTTGTTAAGCGCGCTAGTAAAGCATAACACATATTCTTATCTTACGTGACATCCTTTTCATCGCACCTCAACTCATCTATTTAATCTTATGGATCCAACCTAGCTCGTAGAAGGGAACAATGTAGCACATCTCTCCTGTAGTCACCATCTTCGTTCACAAAAATCACACCCGCACTCTTATCTGGTAGGCCGTAAATCATTGTAGTCTGTTAACGAGCACTCATGAGTTTAATGAGCTTGGGCTTAAACAAAACCGAACATAGTTTTTTGCTAGTTAAGCTTAAAGAGCTTAATGAGCCGAGCCTTAATGAGTACAAACTTAACAGGCCAAGCCTTAATGAGCCGAGCAGCTCGTCAATCCACGCCTACCCTTAGCAGCTGACTTAGCCATCCAAATTAAAGAAAACTAGTTCAACCAAAAGCCCGAGCCGAAAAGAGAGGGGCAAACATTATACTCATATGAAGAAATACTAGTTCAGAATATCATGGCACCAGAACCACATCATTACGATTTATAAGTCACACATACTTTTCAAAACATGGACAACTTCCGTTTTTCTTTTCAAAACAATGAACAACCTTCCATATTAACCATATGAACTACTCCCTCCGTTCCAAAATAGATGACCCAACTTTGTACTAAGGTTAGTACAAAGTTGGGTCATCTATTTTGGAACGGAGGGAGTATCACCCGTCTCAGCAGAATATTGTCGAGGGTTGAACATCACTCTCCCTATCATAGCGGTGACACGAGTGTAAAATGAAAAATAGCAAGTATAATGAAATGCTTAGAGCTCGTTTATATATTTACTATGATGCATAGCATTGCCATTGGTGGCTACAAACCTTTTCATGTGGCTCTTAGTATCAATATCCCATAGGCAAGGAGGGAGAGCAGACTACAAAGGAATATCGAGGCCTTTCCCCACTTCGAAACCGATTATCTCAAGAACACCTTTGTTCAATATCTGGAAGGAAGAAAAAAAAAGCAGAGCCCCAAAACGCATCAATAATCACAAATGCATATATACAATGAAGCAAATCGAATTATGACAGTGCTTTCGCGATTGAACGATTGGTAGATTTTCTTACCAGCTCCACGATGAAGGTCCCGATGAGGCCCATCATGCAGGCCCTGGAGTTCCACACCTCCGCGGTCTTGGTGAACCCCAGGAACGGCTCACTCAGCTTGGGTTGCGCCTTTGGCACCTGGACCTGTCATGAACACTAAAGTTTCAGTAAACTAACTTGTGTCTGAACTCTACACACCAATCAAGCACAAAAGATGTTAAGATCTCGGAGAACCGTCTCTTATAATAATCTAATGAAACGAAGGAAGCCATGCAGGAACTTACTCCGGCAGGAAGCTTGGCTGCCTGAACCCTGAAAGCCGCCGCTCTCGGTGAGCGGTTAGCGCTGGCAGCATTCCTCTGTCCGCCGAAGGGTTGGACTGCCAGGAGAGACGGCGCATGAAGCATGGAGGCCACGGCCATTGCTGCACACTGATTAACCACGGCACTACGGAGAGTTTGGTAAGGGGGAGGAAGAAGAGCAGGCTGGGGCTGCGATGCAACGGCTGAGGTAGAGAAAGGACACGAGAGTGGACTGGCGAACGAGCGGTCGAGAGGCTGGCTGGCTGGCTGGCTTGGTTGCGGAGCACAACCTTATCCGGCGCGGTGTCCGGCAATAAGTGGACGTGCTCACGTACACGTACGGTGGTGGGCCGGGAGCATGTGTGCACTGCCACTGGGCAGCTGCGTGGCTCAAATGTTACGCGTGAGGCCTCAGCATCTCAAGAGACGAAAAGCATCAACGCGCTCCGGCGGGCAGGCGTCGAACTTCTGGATCAGACGACCCTCCCATGACGCTGCAGGTGATCTGGACCCCATGAATTGTTATTGTGCCCTCCAAAATCCTTTCTAGCCACCGGAAGGTGCCGTTCCAAGTAGGGTTTTTTTTGGGTCGGAATTTTCGATAACCGACAGCATACCGAAAACTTCAGTGATATCCGAGAAAATTTGACACCGTCTGAAATTTTAAAATTTTAAATTTGAACAACCAAAACAGGGTCTAATAGAGCTGGTTTGCGTATATTTTATTTTATAAGCCTAAAACATAATTTAGAGATGATAATAAAAGTGTGATGGTTATGTGTTAGTTTTATCTTTAGTAACTCAACTTTACTTAATACATGGTGAGAGATATTGTTGCCAAGGGATCATATTTTACTTAACGGAAGGACAACAATGTTCTTTCTTTAGTTTCTCTCTTCTCACCTTAGCATTTATTCTACATAGTCATTCTACAGTAGCATCATTGCACACGTCATAAGCACTCTGCCTCCCATATAAAAAGTACTCCTCTAGACCTCTTTTCTGTTATGGACTTTGGATGGCCGTTTGGGCTCTTGGGAGCATATGCTCCCTAATAAACAATAAATTTTTTAAAAAATAGTAACTAAATTTCAAAAATCCTGAGTTTTTTTTAGATGTTCATGCCAGTGTAGCAAGCGTGCTTGATAATTTTCATGCGAAACGGGATAGTAATGTGTCGTCAGTGAAAAGAACAAAAATAAGTGTAACATTTGGAGGTAACGTTTGGCATTAGACTTGTTTTTTTTTTGGCACAGGTCAAATTTCTTAGGCATTCCCCCAAAACATTGCAAGTAGGACATGAGTGCGCGAAAATGAACACATCTAAAAACAAATCAATTCTTTTTGCCATTTGCAAAAAAAACTTTTTTGGTGCACAGGAGCATATGCTCCCAAGAGCCAAATTGGATTTCCTATGTATATTCAGCTTGCTATAATATCCAATATATTAATTACAAACATATTATTTAAATGTATGTTTTGACAAAGATCCAAAAATAATGTGAAGATTCTATTGTTTTTGGTTGGATCTCACGAGTGATGGGCTGATGCTTGTGGACAAGCTTGCCCGCATGGCATGTGAAGGGGAGTAGTGCATGCCGGGCTCATCAGCTAGGGATTGACAGCTTGCATCTTCGTCTGTGTAGTCGTCGGCTCGGGGTGGACCCCATGAATCTTGGTTGGATCTCAGGAGTGAGTAGCAGGGACGGCGTGGGCATGGGTAGTGGGATGCGAGGATCGTGAAGACAGTGCTCCCGCTGACCACCTTTGGACATGCATGGTGATCCCCGTGGAAACCTGATAAGCACATGTTTGGCCACGGTGTGGCCAAAGACGTCGGCGGTGAAGGTGGCGGCGGAGGTGGCACTAGAGCATGGGGAGCCGATTTTGCCTAAGGTGGTTGGTCCGGGTAGGGACGTAGCTCAAGTGAGGAAAGGGGGGCACTGAACCAGAGATGGAATTTGAACCGAAACTCATGATCTAAATGAGTAGCTCATGACTTGGCTCCACTTGACTTGAACTCGATGATTAACGAGTCGAGACAAGTTTTAATTTGAGCTCGTTGTGTTAACGAGTCTAGCCGAGCTAACTCGTTATTTTAACAAGCTCTAACAAGTTGAATCGAGCCAATTCGGCTCGACTTGAATTCCAACCCTACATTGGACCCATGCACTCCAGCCGCCGTAGTGGTGGCTGTCATGGCTGGGGAAACGTTATATTTTGTTCATCTTATTTTTTGATTGACCACGATTGAGAGACGGAGAGATGTGGGTGGGGGTTGAGTGATATTATTTTTGCGCATGGTTCCACTCCTATTTTCAGTTCTGTATCTCAGAAAATGAGAAATATGGGGTGCCTTTTGCACCAATCTCAAAGCATATTTGCAAGGTGGACTTTTGACCGGTACATAGCTGCACCGTTTGAATTACTTGTTCCGATTGCGCCAAGTAAGGAACCTATGCCGTCACATCACTTGGGTAACAATACATCGACGTACGCACGCGATCGGCTGCTGATAGGGATCATTTTCCAGTAGAAAATCGTTAGACTAGATTTGGAAAGTTACCACCCTGAGCAAGCTACCGGCACCTTACGCGACGAAGCTGGAAAATAGATCCTGTGGGGCCAGCTCTAGAGCGATGTTGCCATTTTCAAAAATCGATGGTGCCAGTTTTCTTGTTGTTTTTGCGACACCAGTGGCTATATATATTGCAGCTTACGTACATATTGCTAGAAGTCATGACATTGTCTAATGTGGAATTATTTCCCGGCTTCTCTTCACGTTTTCCTTTTACAGATTAAAGAAGGTGTGGTCACCGGTAAGTCTTCACACTCCACATAGATGCACATAGATATATGCATGGTATCATCAAGCCAGCAGCCGGTGAATCCGCGATGACATGGACGATGAGCGGACACGCCATTGAATTGAATTGAATTGACATTTAATTACTAACATAGTATACGACAGATGGAAGCAACGAATAATTTAGGAATCTAATAAGCAGCTGACGTATGGTACGTGCACATGGCAAATCGAACGTTTCCGATGTTAAATTTAGTGACGCGAGGATGACAATTTTATGCTTCAGTCTATTTTTGACAAAAAAACTCCCATATGTGTCAACTAACTTGTCATCCTTGCGTCATTAGAATTGCCATAAAAAAGTTCAATTTGCCACACGTGTGTGTACCTAACGTCAGGTACTTATCGTTTCCGATAATTTTTGGACTAGAAGCAATCAAAGAAGATTTTGTAGGATCATGAAGAAAACATTTATTATTCTAGTCAAGTATGAAACGCTGTAAAATTAAAATACCACAAGGACAAGCTATGACGAGAGCCAGAAGGGGTAATGGTTTAGTGTTTTTTGTTTATACAAATATACAATGCTTCCATACCTTCCATGCTTAAAGAAAATTGAGTTCAATTCACCAAACCAATTATTATGTCTATCAGCGGCTTCGGGGATAGGCCCTGGGGCCATGGAGAAGTGCTACGACGGTGTCCCATCCGCCCACGAGGACTTGGAATCCCGGAGGGGAAGAGGCTGTAGTGCAGGGGATTTGCATGGTGCTCGGGTTAGGGAGTTGGGAGCCTCAATGACGCGCGATGACATTCTCCGAGGCGACTTTCCGGTTCTTTCCTCCCCCTCTTTTATTTTCCGATGGGATGCGCATGCTCCCTTTGGACCTTGACCATGTGTGAAGCACGCCTCGGTCGTACCAGGCCTCACCCATTGACGATGAGAAACGTGTGCAACATTATCGGTACACAACAGTGGTTACCTCCTATCTCTATTCCTCGTGTCACGACTGATCTGAGGGTTTAGAGTTTAGAGTTTGGGTAGGGATGGAAGTCAACTGGCCACCCCCAAGGTATAGAAGGAGTGGTGAGAGGATGAAATAGGAGGGAAGAAAACTAGACAGAGAGAGCTGGCTGCAACAATTGTAAGGAGCAAGCTCTTCCTCTCTCAATATACAAAGAAAAGATACACACAGCAGGACTAGGGTGTCGCACCATCATGCATGCCCGAACCTGGATAAATCAAGCTCGTGGTGACTCATTCTTCGAGAATCTCTTTCTAAAGGAGTAAATAAAAAGAATAAGAAAAAAATACTGGAATTCTTAATTTACAAATATACACTGATTACAAGACGCGGCGACGATGGCGTGAGGACGTTTATGCCTCTTTAAAGGCGTTGTTGTGGAAGTTCACTTAGTCGTAGGTGTTAATTTTACTTAGCCACAGGTTAACAGCAAAACACAACCACAGTGGTAGAAAACAAGATTGCATAGTTCATCCACATAATCTAGCTCCATAGATAACCTCGTAAAATTGTTCCAAGCGGCTACACCCAAAGGCCATAAGCCCATGCCCGTCCACCCGTGAAGTGATGACTACATGCGGGTTGACATTCTAGCTCCATAGAAAACCTGACAGATTTTAGGAACTGATGATTCGTTAGAAACACAATAACTCTTGCATCCAAATGTTCCAGAGATGACACAAACTCACTCGTGAAGTTAGCCCTTCAGATTATTGTGAAGACCATCCAATCAATTACCAAATAAATTTGACATACTTATTGGTGATAATAAATTTAAAGAAACGTGAATTGTGCCCTCAAATCAAGTAGTGAACGGACATGACATGAATAAATGATGAATTATTTCCTCGTGATCACAAAAACAACATGTGTTATCCTGTCAATTGTGTTTTACAAGATTATCGTTGGTAACAACTACCTCCCTCTATAGAAGAACCACATGAAAACTTGATTTTAGGATGGACTTTTTCTTTTCAGATATGCTTCCTGCGAAAAATAGGCCCAAAATTCTTAATATATGCATACACATACTTCACAATGAAAACACCATTAGTAGTTAACCTCCATCGAAACATATCTACATCTGGGTTAGACTGTCGACATGAAACTACTAACTAAATGGACCTGCTTAGTACATTTGTCACAAAGTAAAGCTCTACGGAATTGAATGCTAAATGGGCAGCTTCCCGTTCAGAGGCCACCGAGACCTCCTTCCTAATCACAATATTATAAAGGGTCAACTATCGAAGGGCATGGAACATCACCCAATCATGTATCTTCCCCAAAAC